GAAACCTCTCCGATGCCTAAGTCAGAAAACTTGACAAATAGACAAAGCTCAATGTAATCAGGAAGCAAAATTGTATGTGGTGTTCTGTTACCTCCACCAAGGTGATGCTTGTGAGCTTTTATAAGTTTCGAATGGCACAATCCTAGTAGGACTTTTATTCCTCCATGCAGAGTCCTCCTAGGATTCATACTCCTAAGGATAATGCTTATCCTTTTACACCCCCCCACTGCTTAAACCAAGTGGGATGGTTTTCATTACGGCCGAACTGTCATTTGACCGAGATAAACCTAGCTTTGTAGAGTTGCCGAGTAGGCCAAACTATTCTTAGTTCGGCTCTGTTTTTACTCCTCATCTCGGTTCACCTCTGCTCAACCCATAGCACGGTCGAACCAATCTTAACAAGTCGCGACCGGTATAACTCCTAGGTCGGTCTAACTCAAAGATACCGCTAGACCGACCTATTCAAGATATATCCCGACCGGACTAACTCCGAGACCGGCCTAGCTCCAACTTGCCCAGACTAAAGTAGCTTTACTATTCTTGAACCGAAGTAACTTTATAATTCTTGGGCCGGAGTAACCATTACGGCCTTTTTACCCAGTCCTTCGCACTTTGGACCACAAAGCCCAACTCACAGCTCGGCCCAATTTTTCTCAAAAATTACCCTCTCAGGCCTTATTTGAAAGAGCACCACAATGTTACATAGAGTCAAGATTGTGTGAATTTCTCATATTGAACACCATATTTGGTAAGGGTATGGGTTACACGTCTGCTATGTCTAGTTGGACATGTTTTCAGTAAGCACATAGATCTCCCTTATTACGTTAGTACTTTTGGGACATGTTTACTTGAAAATAGTGAATTTCTCATGCTTTAGGCTCTTCTATGTTAGATATATTTACTATGTTATCTTTGCAAATTAAGGAAGAATATTAAGCATTATGAATATTTAGCCGTCTCTCAATGTCACTAGACCAGAGAATTAGATGAATACTGCACCCAAAGCACCTACCCAAGCCCATGTAGCATAGGAGTACTGATGGGTTGACAAAATTCAGGACTGAAGTCCTACTGTTGAAGCTGTGTAATGGTTTGGATTGTGGGGAATATTATATGAAGGATCCTTGGCTGTGTTCAGCTATGAAGGAAAGAACATGTGTAGAAAACAACTTCTTGATAACAAGAAGATGGTTTACAAATTCATTTAACTTTTCTCTTTAGCCTGTGTTTGGATCATAGATTTGGGTGGAGATTTGGAAAGAAAAAAGGAAAAGATGGGTGAAATGTGAATGAAATATACCTACATTTCGCCCACCTTTTTCGTTCCCCTTTTCAAATCCCTATCCAAATCTATGATCCAAACACAGTCTTAAGGTTGTGTGACATTCTCTTGTGATGAAATGCATGCCACCATTTTTTTCTTCTGCCTTCTACAATACTGGGCATTTTTATTGGAACAGTATTTTTTGGGGCTATCTGGATTCTCATACAGAAAGGGGCAATTATGCACCAGATAACTGCTCTGGGATGAACTTTGAATTAAGCAATCATCATTCTTCGTTCATTATCATTTATTGTGTTTTTCATCTTCATATTTCTATATTTTTGATCTTTCATGAATTGGAAACTCTCATTCATCATTTTACTGCTTTTGTTAATGCAGGAAGTTGTTGATTACAGATGCAAAAAGAAATTTCGTCTCTCAAATTCCCGAGTCCTTGAAAGAGAACCTTATTCAACGTCTGAAATCATTTAGCTGGGAAATATGACATTCAGGTCCTTGAGCAACTTGGCATGTTATGTCAATGTGTGGGAGCAACTTTGCTACTTGATTCTCAAAATTTTAAACACTGTACGCAATAATGAATCAGAATACAGTAGGGCATGAGCTATTATTTATTGATTTCCTCATTATAATGGTTGTTTAATGACTAATCATACTACTAAATGTAATTATTGGTAAATTTTGCAGTCTCCTGATGTATGTTGGTAGTGGAGCTTGGTGTATAATCTGTAACATCGGTTAATGTTTCGTTGAGTGGTGGCAGCTTCCTTGAGCAATAACTGGGGGTATGTCATATTCTTTATCTTTGCAGTCAGGAGAAGGTTGTTCTATCAGTGTCATTTGATCTTTTGTCAATCGGAATATAGGTGGGGGCTTCACTGGTCAAATGTGACATCAAAGAGCCGAGTTCAATAACTGCCAAAAGTTTTCTTTCTCCTTTGCACCTGTGCAGTTGTGGTTTTGGTAGAGAACGAGCTCGGAATTTCTATTAATTTTGTATGATATATCTCTTTTCAGCAATCATCGTTAGTATACAATCCTCATTTTATGGACGCTTTGCAATTTTCCCATAAATATGTGGTCGGATTAGTACTCCTGGATCTTTATGCTATCATTGAGTTTTACTTAAAAAAATAAAATAAAAAAAATGATGGAATCTTGACTACCCATAAATATAACTGTTATCTTCCCCTCTGTCTGCTTTTATTTCTCCGTTGCCAAGCAGATTCTAGATTCCTTTGTAGTGTACTATCTATGTGAATATTTGTCTACAGATTGAAGATTTAAGTTTTTCGGTTGTGCGTTTGGAACTATGTTTGTAGATAGGAAGCTAGTGTTTTCCTGTGTGATTATTTGCTTTGATATATGCTCTGCATGGATGTGGACTACTAGGTTGGATGTCTGAACATCTTCCAGTATTAGGCATTAAACAGGGCAGTTAGTCAGTGTTGGACACTTCCCCATCACTGCGGGTGGGAAGTAGGTTAAAAATTGTTTATTTATTTTAAAAAAAAATGTAAAAAAATAAAGATGTGATGTGATTTAAAAAATTTAAAAGGTCAAAAGGTTGACTTTTAACCAATTTAGCAAAATAGGCTAATGAGTAATGTCATTGCAAACATCACCATCTAAAAAAAAATGTTATTACATAGTTTTTGCAAGAAATAAATTTCATATAGAATAATATTGTTGTTTAAATTTCATAATCTTTCTGAGAAATGTCTCATCTTCTCATTTTATCACTTCTGAGATTGCATCTCTAATGAGGTGGCAAAAAGTAACAACCAATCAACTCTTTTCAAAGTGCAGGATAATTATACATGGAAGTAAGTCACACATCGCTAAGCGTGGAATTAGGAATGAAAAATTAGAAGATATATAGCACCACTCATTTCTTTTATTTGTTTTGTAGGAGAGATTTTTTTTTTCCCGATTTAAAAAAAAAAAAAATTCTGAGAAGCCATCCTTGGCCGCCCATATATACTCCATAAAAATTTCCTTTGTTTATATGTATACATAGAATTCTGCACTTTTCCTTTGTTTATTTATATATGTATATATATATATATATTCTCCTTACAATCTTGCCAACACCCCAATAGTCTATGAAAGTTGCTGAATAAGTTCGGGAGCAGAGGTCCCTCAATGTTATAAAGATGAACCATGACGCACGCCATGACCATCCTGCCGAACATACTAGAAAAATACAATCCAAAATTCTACGGCGGACTTTCAATTGCCATCGAGATTTTTTCCTATAAATACTCTCTCCAACCTCCTCTCTTTGGCATAAAAACAGACTCCTGAAACACAATTCGCAAAACACCTTCCTTCTCTCTTTTTCATTCAATCTTTTGATATCATCAATGGCGGACCAACTCATTGTCTTGGATTTATGGATTAGCCCTTTTGCAGCAAGGGTTAGAATTGCCTTGGCTGAGAAAGGGATAGACTATGAGTCCAGAAAAGAGGACTTGAGCAACAAGAGCCCACTGCTCCTCAAGATGAATCCTGTTGGCAAGCAAATCCCTGTGTTGATCCACAAGGGCAAACCGGTATGCGAGTCACTCATCATTGTTCAGTACATCGATGAACTCTGGAACCACAAATCCCCATTGTTGCCTTCTGATCCTCACCAGAGATCCAACGCCAGGTTCTGGGCTGATTATGTTGACAAGAAAGTGAGTCCTAAATCTTCCATCTACATGTTTATAATCTGTACAACAAAATGATATATTTTCTTACCAACATTTACATACGGTATATTCTACAGATATATAGCATTGGGAGGCAGCTATGTTTATCCATCGGTGAAGCCCAAGAAGCAGCAAAGAATGACCTCATAGGGTGCTTTAAGCTGTTGGAAGGAGAGCTTGGAGATAAGCATTACTTTGGGGGTGAGACCTTTGGCTTTGTGGATGTGGCATTGATCCCATTTTACACCTTTTTCCATTCGTTTGAGCAATTTGGCAACTTCAGCATGGTGACAGAGTGCCCTAAAATTGTTGCTTGGGCTCAAAGGTGCATGGAGAAGGAGAGTGTGTCCGAGTCACTTACTGACCCACACAAGGTCTATGACTTTTTCATGGGGCTCAAAAAGAAGCAGGAGGCTAAGTAAATTTGATTTATGCTGTGTTTGGTTGGAAGATTTAAGAAGAGATTTGGAAATGGAAAAGGAAAAGTTAGGTGAAATGTTAATAAAATATACTTACATTTCACAACGGTCCGACATGACCCCGTAAACTGTCTTCTACATCGGTCCGACATGACCCCGTAAACTGTCCTGCTCCAACGGTCCGCCATGACCCCGTAAACTGTCTTCTTCAACGGTCCGACATGACCCCGTAAACTGTCTGCTACAACGGTCCGACACGACCATACCGTGTCTCCTATCCTGTTCTGTTTTATTTTATTTATCAGTTTATTTTTCTGTTTTTGTTACTCTCTCCAAACTCAAGTTGGCTAGTACCTATCCTCCTTGAGTTTGAGGGGGGCTGTTAATGTACATTGTATAATTTACCATCACCTACCACACACTCACCTACTACACTCACCTACTACACTCACCTACCACCACCTACTCCCTACACCTACATCTATATAAGGAACCCCTCATTTGTAATACAAAAAATATAACATTCAATACAAATTTCATCAATACAAATTATTCTCTCCTTCTCTCTATCAATTTATCTTTCAGGCAAGGAGGTATGTTTCTTTTATGTTACACTTAAAATAAAGAAGAAACTTTGTTTTTTTGTCTTTATATAAATAACTTTAGCAATATATCATCTAATGTGTGCTCTGCTTTATATCGCATCTAAACAAGCTGTGGTGTGCTATAAGAACTACATCAAACCGCCTAAATTTGACTGAAGCATCCTAGAAGATTTCCTTGAATTTTTGAAGAGTACAAGATCAAATTGCTTAATGGAGAATGAAATTTGTAAATTTTAAGAAAATAAAAAATTGTAAATATAAACGCTATCAAACGGGTTAATAGTTCCAATTTTTTTGTTTTTAAAATGATTGTAGAGCAATCTACCAAGTTTGACAAATGATATTTCCAAATCAATGGCAAATACTTCAACTAAATTAAGTGGTTTGTTATTTATTTAAATAACAAATCAATTGACCCTAGAAATGTAAATAACAGTGATGCGGGAAGGCATAGAGTGTTCACATTTTGTATGTATTTTAACAAATTATACCGTAAATTTTATGTTATCCTTAATTTATTTCTCAAAAATCAAATATATTTGTCTTTTAATTAAATCAATTTTGCATTTAAACTATTTTGGTTTAGATTAGTGTGATGCATACCATCTATAATCAAATAGAAAAGTTCTTAGAATCTAATTTTGTCACTGTGTGAGGTCTGAAAAGAGTTTTTTTAAGAAGATTGCAAAGAAAGATTTTTTAAAATCTAATTTTGTCAACTTCGGCCAACAGTGATTGGGAAAAAAAATTGCCTTGTATTAAAGAAGAGTAATGCTATATATAAATAGAAAAAAATGTACAAAATAATGCGACTTAATTAGAATCTTTGAATTTAAAACAATATCTATTAAGATAGAACTTAATTTTCTGTACTATAATTTTTGTGTGTGTAAGATATAGGTTTTTCCTATAAGATATGTACGTGAGCACTTGGACATAATTATAATTTTTTTTAGATGTGAAAGCACAAGACTTAATATATTACACATCCGACAATAAATTGTCAAATAAAGCACATCAGAGTACAAAACAGATCCCAAAAGGGATAAAGAAAACCTCCACGTAGGAAGGATACGAGTCTCTACATATGAAGAAAAAACAAACCTTCATGCAGGGGGAGAAAACCTCCATGAAAGGAGGAAACCTCTGCGTAAAGAGATATTATTGCAACACAAAAAAAAAAAAAAACCAAAATAAATAAAATAACAACTATCACTACCAAATAAACAATACCAATCACATTCACGATTCGTCCATCATCGCAACTGATAGCTTTGGTACCTTAATCCCCACCTCAACGTTACAAAATAAAGTATTATGAATCTGAGGTGGTTACCTAATGTATAACAACGTGTTTAACAGTATCGAATCTTGATCACGAATCAGATTTAAGTCTAAATCTCAAAGGATATAATCATAGTTTGAGTAGTGTTAAAAACAAATTGTTATATAAATCAAAAAAATCAATAAAAAGAATGTACAAAATGATGGGACACAATTAGAGTTTTTAATTTTAATATAAAAATATCCATTAAAAAAAATGTCATCAATATATCATTTTTAAAGGATTTTTTTGTATAAGTTTTCTTTAATATATAATTTTTCTATAAAAAATTGTAGTTGAGCATTTCGAGGAGTAATATGCTATTACAAACATGGCCTCCAAGAAATATGAGAGGGATGTGAGTTCTACTGGATCGATAACCCTTTCACATATTTTGAATAAGCACGCATTTGTTGTCAGGCAATTTGGGCTTAACTCGGGTTGAATTTGAGCGGATAATCTCTAGTTTGCAAGGGTCTAGATAAGTCTCAGCACAATTTGAACTAATTTTGAATAATCTCTCAACCCACCCAAACTTGCCCGAGTTGCATTGCTTACAATTTTGCTAATAGCCCAATGGGTCTATGAAGGTTGTTGAACAAGTTTGGGTGCAGAGGTCCATCAAATGTTTTTTAGTTTTTTAGATGGTGGTCCCTCAAATGTTATAAAGATCAATCGTGACGCACACCATTACTATCCTTCCGAACATAGTAGAAAAATAGCAAATGGCATCTAAAATTCTATGACATACTTTCAATTGCCATTGGGATTTTTTCCTATAAATACTCGCTCCAATCTCCTCACTTTGGCATTTAAACAAACACCTGAAATACAATTTGCTAAACATACCTTTAATCTTCGATATCATATCAATGGGGACGAACTCAATCTCTTGGGCTCATGGGTTAGCCTTCCTACGGCGAGGGTGAGAATTGCCTTTGCTGAGAAAGGGGTAACAGACTATGAGTCTAGGGAAGAGGACCTCATCAACAAGAGCCCACTGCTCTTCAAGTTGAACCATGTTCACAAACTAATCCTTATTAAGAGAGGGATTTATACCGAACCTTAAGCAGAGCTAAACCAACACGGATTATGATGTTGGGCCGAGCCAAACCAACACGAAGTATGGTGTTGGGCTGAGCCAGACCAACACAGGATTTGATGTTGGGATGAGCAATTTTAGCCCTAGCACGGAACGTGATGTTGGTCGAGTTGCGTTGGCCTCGACTCTGGTTCGGACAGGCTATCTTTGGGCATCATAGTTGGAGAAGCCACGTGAGGACTGCGGGATCAATCGGGCTAAGCGTGGCATAGGGCGGACACGGAGAACAGGCAGTGAACTATGGCTGCACTATATGGCCAAGATGACGGTCTGCGCACCCATAGTTGACCGGCCTGAGAGAGTGCTACCAAAGTATTGATCGAGCGCAGCTCCGACTCAAAGGCCGGCATGACTTAGGCCTCGTTTGGGATGCTACCTTTTTAGCCAATTAGCCAAAAAGTTACTAAATTAGCCAATTAGTCATACCAAAAAGTCAACAATTACGGCTTCTCTCTACTTTTTGCACAGCTTTTCGTAATTAGTCAAAAAGTCATCCCAAACATATAAGTTTTTTTTACCTACCTTTTTAGCCAATTAGCCAAAAAGTTACTAAATTAGCGTATTCCCAAACGAGGCCTTAGTTTGGCATTGGGATGTTCAAAGTTGATATCTTTGGTGTAACCCAAGTAACAGCACGATTAGGTATATCACGTGGACCAATGGAGAGGAATTCGCTCTTGGCATGCGTCAATACTGTTTGGTGGTTAGGCCAATACTGTTCGGCAGTATTCTCACATACACGTGTAAGGAATGGAGAGAGTAGTACAACCATGCGTCCAGCAAAGAACAATAGAGGTAGTGCACGCACAATCTAGGGTTATATGGCCAGCCTAGATAAGGAGGTGCGGGCAGACTCTGAAAGGTAACCAACCTTTAGCCACTCTCTCTCTACAGTGCTCTATGTTCTCTCTTTTGCTCTAAGAAAGCTAACTTGGCCGTCGGAGGGGTTTTCGGTGAACCACCCGCCTGGTAGCTCACCCTTACTTTGTTTGCAGTGAGACGGAGTTCTATTGGAGCAAGACGAGCTTGGTAACAAGGAGTACGGAAGGCGATGGATATTTCACCCTCATACAACTGTGTTGAACCATAACGGTAAACCGTTGTTCGAGTCACTCATCATTGTTGAGTACATCAATGAAGTTTGGAATCACAAATCTCCATTGTTGCCTTCTGATCCTCACCACCAATCCCATGCTAGGTTCTGGGCTAATTATGTTGACAAGAAGGTGAGACAACACTTGGTTTTTTGTTTTCACATTTAACTTAAATTTATTTTATTGTAATTAAAAATAGGTGAACATTTTAGTTTTTGTATTTATTATTAGCTCAAAAAGTTCTTATTATCTTGTGCAATGTAATCTTGTTATTATGTTTCGAGATTTCTATCATATTGTGTGATTGAGAGTGCATTTAAGGATAAGTGCATTTACATATGCTATTATTCTACAGATAAATAGTCTTGGGAGGTAGCTAATCACTCTGTTTGGTTTTAGTTTTCAAAATTTACTTTGCTGAAAATTATATATTTTTTTATTTTTTGTATTCTTTGTTTTCATTGATTTTTTTTAATATTTTAAGCATTTTTTTTAAAATTTTTAGACACACCTAACATAATACACTTAAAAAACACAATATTTGTGAAAAAAAAATCTTTCAAAAATTTACTAAATATCAAAAATACAAAAAAAATATATGAAAATTTAGTATATTTTTCGTATTTATTAATTTTTTAAAATACTTTCTCACAAAGATTTTATTATTTAGATACATCTGAGTAAGGTATATCTAAAAAAGTAAAAAGATTGATTAAAATTTAAAAAATATTCACTAAAAACAAAACACAAAAAATACGAAAAATAAAAAATTTAATTTAAAAAATTAAAACCAAACACACTAAATATTATCCATAAATATTATCCATAGATAAAGCCCAAGAAGCAGCAAAGAATGACCTCATAGGGTGCTTTAAGGTGTTGGAAAGAGAGCTTGGAGACAAGCCTTACTTTGGGGGATGAGACCATTGGGATTGTGGATGTGGCACTAATCCCATACTACAGCTATTTCTATACATATGAGCAGTGTGGCAAATTCAGCATGGTGGTAGAGAGAGTGTGTCCAAGTCACTTCCTGATCAACACAAGGTCTATAACTTTTGCTTAGAGTTCAAAAAGAAGCTTGAGGTTCAGTAAATCTTCAGAAGAATGTTTGCTTGGAGACATAAAAATTATATCATATTGTAATGGTCTGTTATACTTGATGCTCCTTGGTTAGTTTTAGTGTTGGATGTGGGACCACTTCATTGAACAATCAATAGGAAAGTGTATATTGTTCACTTACTGTGAATAAATTTATATTTTGAACTATTTTGTAATTTCTCTTTTATTTAATTAAGTTCTTATCTTCGCCACACAAAAAATAAATAAATAAATAAAAATTAAGGGCCCTCTTTCTTTCCCTTTCTCATCCTCAGTTATATCATATGATTTATTACTTTAATCGTGTGGTACAAAATGTTTGAGACAAGAGAGCAGAAACACTGTAATTACATTTTTATATTAACTTAGTTGCACCTAAATAAGTATTAAAAAATACAAAAATATAGTGAATTTTTTATATTTTAAAAATTCACAAATATTTTAATTTTTAGGTGCATTTAAGTTAAGCATTTCTAAAAAGTAAAAAATAATAATTAATTTTTTTAAAAAATGTTCAATATAGATAACAAAATACAAAAATAAAAAGTTCAAAAACTTAAAATTTGTATTTAAGAACTCAAAATCAAATAAAATTCTGGAAAAACAAAAAATACACTAATGAAAAATATGTGGACACTTTTGCATATCGATGTGTGCCTTGACTACTTCAGTGATCACAGCCAATCTCATGCTTATGGTTTATTGTTTATTGTCTATTTTCCTGTTTTTTTTTTATTTTTTATATGGTTACAGGAAAATTCTCACATTCTCTCGTAAATTTAAGGTAGTGCATGTAACTTGACTTTTTCGCGCCCCTTTTTGAAAGTTCGAAATAAGTCCTACAGTTTGGACTCCAGCGGTTCTGAATTTAATTTCACAAGTGCAATGTGAAATTAATAAACACCGAAGAGTCTAAATCCAGCAAATCTTTTTGAAAAATCGATTTTGAATCAAAATGCCAAAAATAGTCTGCTTTGCCAGATACAGAGTCGCCACCTAAATATTTTTGAGAAACCTAGGAAACCCATGACTCGTGCCAAAGGCCATGTGTTCGTCATCACCAAGATTGTCTCGGCTCGGGAACTTAGGTACGAGAGGGGAAGGTCATGAATACATTTGAGCACCCCCACTCGCCCGATCAAAGATCGACCTCTACTGATCACGATATGAATCTTATTTACATTATATGCTCTTGTTCCGGTTTATTAGGCTAGCATTATTATGTGATGCGCACACACAAGTATAGACTAACTTGCAAGAATTGGAACACTTAATTCATGTTAGTTTTGAAAATTGTTTCGAAATATGTATCACTTGAAAAAGTGATTGCATATAAATATTATCCAAATTATTCCAATTCAAGAAATAAGCCTTAATCCACAAGCATTCAAGAAGTTATATCGGTTAAGCAATTAGCCTCATGGCAAACATGCTAGATATGGTAACAATCACACGCATGCGATATGCTAAAGCAATTAAAGCTTACCTAGTACTCCAAGCCAAAACAAACAAAAGAGTTAGAAAAATTACATGATCCTAACTTATGCAATATGACTAATGCAACACATGCAAAAATGCGACTAATAGGCTCGGCTACTAATATGGCATATGAATTAATGAAATTGCATGCTGTCTAAACATGTATTCAAAGAAGTATAAGTAATAACAATGCAGTTAGAATGATGAAGCGAGCCTTGGTGCATGCAATACAAATGGATGCAAACATGAAGTACGCTAAATAAAACATGATGTCCCTAAACTAACCATCATAAGCAGTTAAATAAAAGAGAGAAAGACGTGTGGTTGGAAGACATATATGTTATTACAACATTGCGCTCTTACGAAGGAGAGTCCGAATGAATGAACTAGCTAACTAATTAAAGCTAAAGCTAATTAAGCTAACTATTACAAACCAAAACGAATAAACTAGCTAAGCTACTTAACTAGTTATTACAACACTTGAATTAACTAACTGGTTAGCTAACTACTTAAATAATTACAACGTAAGTGCAATTAAAATAAGTAATTAAACTAAACAACCAACTATTACACCTCAGGAAACGAGGGATGTGCATGCGCATGCTCGGTTTCCACCCGAAAAGGCCATCGTTTTGCTTTTGAATGCCACTGTTGCACAGTAGAACACCAACATTGCTGCTCACTCTGCTCTGTCTTACAAACTCGCTGCTGAATTTTGAACCAGTGGCCGACCGGCCAGGGATGAGGACTGCCGGCCACCAGTGATGGTCGGCCGGCCATCAAAGGTGGTCTGCCAGCTATGGAAAGTGGCCTACGGGCCACTGCTGCCCAGTTCTCTTTGCTGCAACAGAGGACAACCAGAGCATATACAAGGTATTTCAAGGGTTTTTTTTGCACAACTCACCCCTCCTTTTCATGAGCAAATCAAAGGAATAGCAAGTTCGGTTCACAAACTATCAATGGATACAATTTCATTGCATGATAGCTTGTGAAACCAGTGTGCAAATTCAATAAATGCAAAACAAAATACAAACCTCCTCCCTTTCATAAATGATCAGGGGAAGTGGTTGTCACTCCCCCAAAATAATACAATAAAGATAACTCATATGCAGAATAAATATGAGAAACAACATGCTTTCATATATCAGAGTTCATTGTTTAATAACCAGTTAAATGTCTTGTAGGCTTACATGTTTCCAAGTCATTACTTGGTTACACAAATTGAGTCTCGCTCATTACATCTTAAGCCCTTGGCTTTACAAATAACTAACATGCACACATAAGGTATAATTAAGAAGCTCTTGTTTCCCAAAACTCCATTCACGCTATTGCCTTGGAGAAAGCATCTCACCTGTACGTGAAAATGGTATTCCCATATAGGGTGAGCCAACAGCCCAGTAGAAATAATCTAACACAATTTATGAGGTTTAGCAAAGGTATAAATACCACGTACATGAACAATACCGATCCTGAAACATCCACAAGACCTGCATATCCATATGCCACTAAGACCAACCTTATTTCATTTTCTTTTAATTTCATTTTCAGTTCATATATGCTACATAATTCATGAGTTAAATTCGTTATCTTTCAACAATCAAAATGAGATTACAACTCAATGATTTTCCAATTATGCAAAACTCACATAAACACTTCAAATCTACCATTTTACGAATATTTCGTCCGAAGGAATCGACACCCATTTATATATAAAATTTCAGGTCTTTCACTTAGGACACTTCGGCTAACTTGCTTTAAATGGAGTCCATCCCCTTTCTCCTCCCAAACAAATATACATATGCAATGTATTTATAAACATAATCACATATGGAGTATATCCCTTTTCTCCTTCCAATAAACATGCATATACAATGTATCTATAACATGGTCAAATTCAACGACACCAACAATGGATTAGCATTAAATCGCCTAATCCTCATGTAATTTCTACAACAATCGTAGCTATCCTCCACCGATAGCCCAATGCAATTATTTCTAAAACGATGTTCAATATCAAAATAAATAGTTTATTCAAAACTTCCATAGGTGAGATAATACATATCCAATATCACAATTTATAATCACAACCTTCCAATTTCACGTTTTCAATGTTAATCCCAATTATTTATGCAAAATAATAATTTAATCAAAATTAGGACAAAATCTCCCTTTCACCAAATATCAACCCAAACACCAAAATCAACTATTTTGGCACAACATAATCTTATATTCAAGCCTCATACTTGTTTACCTCATATTCATCAAAACCCCTCTTTTCATTTCACACCAAAATCCTAGATTTGTCCAAACCACAACCAATCTCATCATCTATACACAATAGCAAATAACTAAGCTAAAAATCATATTAGAGTGTAGAAAATCCCTACCTCAAGTTTGAAGAAGAAACGAGTTGAAACCCCAAAATCAACGGTGCCTAAACTCGATTTCCACCGCACATGACGTAGCCCTCGCCTAGATAACCAACTTTGATGAAGGACTGGGATCTAAATCCCAATGGATTTGGAGAAATCAAAGATCTTGTGAGGTTTTTG